GCTGCTGCTGCTGCTGCTGCTGCTGCAGCTGCGATAGCAGCAAGACAGAGCCAGCGCGACCTCAGCAGCTGGCTGCGCCCAAGAGAACCCACGCCAAACAGCAGCAGCAAATGAAGACCACTCAGCAGCAAAATGAAAGAAAAAGTTGCAAGAATGAAAACAGAAATTTGAGAACTTACGCAAATCTGTCGACAAAGGACTTGGCCACTCGCCGGCGCTCCACAGCGCACTTCACAACCGCCCACAGCGCCTGCTGCTGCAGCGCGTCGAGCTGCTGCAGCTGCAGCTGCAGCTTCTCCAGCAGCGACCCCACATACACGAAGTCTGTGATGCTGACATCCAGGCGAAAAGCTTCGTTTTTGCGGGCCCCGGGGGCAGCAGCAATGTCGATGCGGCAGAACAGGAGCAGCACCTGCGCAGCAGCAGCAAAGAAGTGATGTAGCAGCACCCTCCACAGCAGCACTGGCAAACCCTGACGCCCAGCAAGCGCTTTAAACCAACATGCAGCAGCAGCAACAGCCAAAACGAGGACAAGGCTTGCTTCGTCATCGGCAAAAAAAACAGCAGCAGCGCCAAAACTGTCACCAGCACCACTGACATTCCCTCAAGCTGCCGCCGTGGCAGCAGCAGCATCAGCAGTGGCAATATCAGCAGCAGCACCCCCCCGCTGCAACGTTTGCAGCAGCAGCAGCATGATGAGCAGCCGCAGCATCGCAGCTGCAGCCACCCCACAGCAAAAGCAGCCACGCGACTGCAAGCCTTAGTTGCATCAAAACCAGCAGCAGCAGCAGCAGTTTACCCTGCGCAGCAGCAACAGCAACAACAGCAACAGCAGCAGCAGCAGCAGCAGCAGCAGGTACCCGCAGCACGAAGTCCACTGCCTCTCGCTTGGGCCTGACAGCAATGAGGGAAGGAAATGCTGTGCCTGGGACGGCCAAGTGGCGAAGAGTCCCCAGCAGCTGCAGCTTCAGTTTTGCTTCTGCTGCTCCCCGCAGCAAAAGGGACAGGTCCACTTTTCGCTTTATGCTGCTGCGCTGCACCAGGGGCTCCAGCAGCACCAAACTCCCCCGCTCCAGCGCCCCCAGAAACGGCAGCGGCAGCAAGCAGCAGCAGTACAGGCTCAGCAACTGACACGCAGCAACAGCACACCAAGAACTCACACGCAACACTCAAACAAACCCAATGCAGCAGCCCCTGCTGCAGCAGCTTGCTCCTACTGCAGCGGCTGCTCCTGCTGCAGCAGCTGGCCTCGCTGCAGCACCAGCTGGTCCTGCTGCAGCAGTTGGTGCTGCTCCAGCAGCTCGCCTCGCTGCAGCAGCAGTTGGTCCTGCTGCAGCAGTTTGGCCCTGCTGTAGCAGTTGGCCCCGCTGCAGTAGCTGGCCCTGCCGCAGCAGCTGTTCCTGCTGCAGCAGCTGGTTCTGCTGCAGCAGCTGCTGGCATTGCTAGTAAAAGAGGAAGCTAGGTGGACAAACGCCGGCTTAGAGCCTTTTGCTGCTGCGGTTGCTGCTGCAATAGGTGCAGGGCCAAGTGCAGCAGCAAAACACGCAGCAGCAGCAGAAGCCAAGAGGCGGCGCTTCGCAGTAGCAGAAGCAGCCATGCGCCAGCTGCAGCTGCAGCCGGCAAAGTATTACACCAGCAGTCGCAGAAGCTGCAACTGCTGCCGTCGCAGCAGCAGCAGCAGCAGCAACCTACATCTTCACTGTAGGACTGCAAGTAGTGGCTCAGCAAGAGCTTCCGCAGCTTCAGGTCTGGTGGCTGCTCGTTTGCTGCAGCAACACAGCCAGCTGCAGCAGTGCCTTCCGCAAAGCTAACCACCCGCAGCACTTGCTGCTGCTGCCGCTGCTGCTGCTGCGGCTGCTGCTGCTGCGGCAGCCGCTGCAGGCTCTTCGAGCCCCCTTGCTCCAGAGCTTCGTCCCGCTGAAGCAGACGCAGCACGCGGCCCCTAAACTGCAGACAGACGCCGGACTGCGGCGCACTCTGCTGCTGTCGCTGCTGCTGCTGCTGACGCTGCTGCTGCTGCTGACGCTGCTGCTGCTGCTGTTGGCGCTGCTGCGGTTGCTGCTGCTTCTGAGGCTGCTGACCTTGTGGAGGCTGATGAGGTTGCTGCTGCCGCTGCTGACGCTGCTGCGGATGCTGGGGTTGCTGCTGCTGCTGGCGCTGCTGCGCCTGCTGGGGTTGCTGCTGTTGACGCCGCCGTCCCTGCTGTGGCTGCTGCAGCTGCAGCTGCAGCTGCTGTGGCTGCTGCTGACGATGTTGTGAATCCTGCGATTGTGGCTCCTGCTGCTGGCGTTGCTGTGTCTGCTTTGGTTGCTGCTGCTGCTGACGCTGCTGCGGCTGCTGCGGCTGCTGAAACTGCTGAGGCTGCTGCGGCTGTTGCTGCTGGTGACGCTGCTGTGCCTGCTGTGGTTGCTGCTGCTGCTGCGGCGGCTGCGGCTGCTGCTGCTGCTGCTCCTGCTGCCGGCTCGAAGCCCGCTGCAGCTGCCTCTTTGTTAGCTGCCGCTGCTCACTCTGCTGATCCTGATTTTGCTGCTGTTGCTGCTGCTGTCGCTGTTGTTGGCGGTGATGCTGGTGCTGCTGCTCCCGCTGCACTTGCTGTTGCCGACGCGGCTGCTGCTGCTGTTCCTTCTGCTGCTGCTGCTCCTGTTGCTTTTGTTCGTCTACAGTCCTCCAGCATTCTTGGAGCCGCTGCTGGGGTCGCTGCTGCTGCTGCTGCTGCTGTGGTTGCTGCTGCTGCCGCCGCTCCTCCCTCTGCTGACGCGGCGTCGCAGAACCTGATTCAGGTCGATCTGGCGGTTGCTGCTGCTGCTGCTGCTGCTGCGTCTTCTGCTGCTCCTGCTGCCGTCGCAGTTGCTGCTGCTGGCGCTTTAAATCTCGCTGCTCCCTCTGCTGCTGCCGCTGCTGCGTCTGTTGCCGTTGCAGTGGCTGCTGAATCTGGTGCTGCCGCTGCAGCTGCTGCTGGGGTTCCTGCTTCTCGAATGGCCCATGTCCTTCCTGTTCCTGCGGGTGTTGCTGCTGCTGCTGCTGCTCTTGTTGTCGTTCGTGCTGCTGCCTCGGCGCCCGTTGCTGGTGGTGGTGGTGGTGCTGCTGCTGCTGCAGACTCTGCTGGGAGTCGGAGGGATGCCCAGGCTGCGGCCTCCAACTTCGTATGTGCTGATGAGGCCGTTGGCGATGCTGCACTTGCTGCTGCTGCTGTTGCTGCTGCTCCTGCTGCTCCCGCTGGCGGCCAAGACGCGAAGCATGTCCTTGCTGCTGTTGCTGCAGCACCTCCTGCGGCTCCGGCTGCAGCAGCGGCCTGACACTAACGTCGTCGCCCTGCTGCAGCGCCATTGCGCTGACGGAGTGTCTTCTTGCTGCTGCAGCAGCAGAAGCAGCAGCAGTTGCTGCTGCGCCTGCTGCTCTTCAAAGGTTCCTCAGCCCCGATAGAGAAGCTCCCTGACGGATCAGATGCTGCGTCCTCAAGTCATAACGATAAGCAACAGATGCTGCTGCAGCAGCCAAGAGCAGCAGCAGCAGCGCAGCAGGTGCACACCGGGCGAGACGCCACGGTGTACGCGCAGCCCGACGGAACGAAATAGCGGAAAAGTCAAAACAAAAGTGGCTACAGAGCTCACTAAAAGCAAAAATCTGCGCCGCTGCTGCTGTAGTTGCTGCTGCTGCTCCTTATTTAGTTCCTTTTTGCTGCTCCGACTGCTGCTGCTCGCGGTGGTCCTTCTGGTCAAGTATTGCTGCAGGGCTGCATGCAGCAACGAAACCTTGAAGCCGCGCGAAGGCGGGTGTCTTCTGCTGCAATTATTATTAGTTCTGCTGCAGCAACAACAAGAACAGCGGCAGCAACAGCAGCAGCAGCAACAGCAGCAGCAATTGCTGCAGCAGCAGCAGGGAGGCCTCGCTGCAGAACACGCAGGGCACTAGGGGCTGCCAAGAACAACAGCTTCGATGGTGGCTGCAGCTGCTGCTTGGCAGTTGGTGGTACGAGGTGGCATTTCCCCCGCAACTCGTGCTGCTGCTGCTGC